CTAAAAATTTCCTTCACTGCGTCATCGCCATCGTGATCCCAAAACGAAAGCTGCCATAGCTGGGTCAATGCACACATGTCGCCCCCATCCATATCCATAATGTTTATATACAATTCGCCGGTCCATATCTAAAACACGGAATTAATGCGTGTCCCGGATGGGAAAAATTTAAAAATCGAGACGGCTAACATTCCGACCAATCCCCCTTTATGATTTTTTCATAAAAATTTTTCTGCCTACGGCGCTGTTTTATTACTATTTTTAAAACAGTTTTGACTTACATCAAGCCTATCTTTCAAAATTTTTCGCCTGCCGCGCTGGTTTTTCCAAAAAATTCCGCCTGCGGCGCGCGTCGTGTCATGACAGCAACTTCGTCACCTAACAAGAGAAAGCCCGTTGGCCAATGGATGTTGTAAAAAATTGCTAGATAGTGATTTTCTGCCATCCTGACCACGATGACATTGTTATTGAAATCTAAAAAATGCCTCAGAAAAAAGCAGACTTGGCAATTTCATCCGCCCGGCCTCGGCCGACGAGCCCCAGTCTACCGGCCCACCGCGTGCTACTTTTTGCGGCCGAAAACTACTGCAATCGGCCGGCCAATTTGTCATGCCTGGAAAAAAGTTGACGTCGTAGTATACTTAAAACTGCCAATTTAACAATTAAAATGGAAAATTGGCCGATTTCGATGTCGGCATCGGATTTCCAGTTGCAAAGTTCACCTAGGGTCGGTCAAATTTACAAAATTTGGAGCTAGGACATTCGAGATACAGACGCTTTCCCGACCCGATAGCTTTTTGCAGCGCTACTGTAACCCGGCACACAAAAACGGCACCTGTTCGTCATCACCAGTCTGGTCGTCGTCATCATGCAAGTGGTCGACGCCGATAGATACGCGACCGATCCGCCGCGGCATCAACCATCGCCCATTCACCGTGCGTCTGCAACGGAAAGCCGTTCGGCAATATCGCAAGCAATCGAAAAAGACTGCTTCGTGCCTGTGTTGTCTCTTAGGATTTATACAGGGGGTTACAGTCGCATTCTTTGGTCCAAAGACACCTTAAAGGGGCTCCGAACTGCCAAATCAAAGCCCTTTTGGGAGGGCTCTTTGATTTCTGGCAAATTGCCAGCGGGCGCTGCGGGACGAGAGCACTCACTCTTTCGATTTTTGCGCAAAGTTGTTTTTGCCCGGTTTCTTTGTGAAAACACTATAATTCGCGCATTTTGAGTCCATTTTTGAAATTCTCACTCAATTTTAAATAGTTTCGGTGTTTTAATCATCAAATTTGGCCCAGAAACAGCCGAGAACGTGATTTCGAGGTGACAACAGGCAATTTCAAATTTTGCGAGCTTCCCGGCCCTGGGCGTACAGAGGCCTCCCACGTACAGGGCTCCCATTTGCGGGCCGTCACTCAATTTTTGGCATTTCGTAGCCCCTTTAAAATGCGCTGTAACTTTGGAAAATTCTGGCCATTCTGCAAATTCTGAAAGCAGATTCGGAATCAGCGAAAAATTCTGCACAAGATAGGCTTGGTCTCACCTGGAATTTCCACCCTGACCAAAAACACTTTACCGTAAGCGTATACGATATTCGATAAAAAATGCCCAGGTTGCGTTTTTGCAGCGCTTTTTTTCAACAATAGAGTTTTCCGCGCTGTTCTTTAGCCTTATTCTAGAAATTCCTAGTCCTGCGCCCCGGTATCGCGTGTATTTCGGCGCCGAACTCAACTCGAAGGGGGAAAGGAGCTAGAGCTTAGCTCTCTTCGGATTCGTAAGAGCGCCGTCAGAAACCCCCCAACTGATAAAAAAATTATGAAAAGGTTTTTCGTTTAAATTATTAAATTTAACTTTGAAAATGGCGCCTGAATAAAACGAGTGGGGGCCCCTCTCCCGGGAAGCCACGGCCCCTTTCCCCGCCCCCCTTCACCAGGCCCTTTCCCGCGTCCAGTTTGCTTTTTTTAGTTATTTTAATACTTTTTTAATGCTTTTTAATCATTTTAATTCATTATTTAAAAAATTTAAAGTATATAAAGCCATCGGGAAGGTATTTTGGTAGTTTTTAAGGGTCATACGAATACCTGAACTCTCGATTGACACGCTGTAGTGTGCGGAGTTGATGGATGGACAGTCGATCGATTATAGCCGAGATGGCGGGGCCGGGCAGTTTGTTGATTGGGAATTGAGAGCATACTTTCCGCCGTCTCCCATACCGTAACCAGTTGGATGCGGATAGCACAGTCGAGGCAATCCACCACCACCAAAGCATCATCTTTTCGAATAGCATAATCCTGGATTTTAATATATTTAATAATTTTCTTTTGAATAACATTAGAATCCTGGAAAGATTTCTCGTGGTGAGAGAGTGAGAGAGTGAGAGAGTGAGAGAGGGAGAGTGAGAGGGCGGGAGAGAGAGAGGGAGAGTGAGAGGGAGTGAGAGAGATACTTTGGAGAGAGAGGAGAGAGAGAGAGAGAGAGAGAGAGAGAGAGCGAGAGAGAGAGTGAGAGGGGGGAGAGAAAGGAACAGGGCACCAACAGGGCAGGAATTGAGACGGTCATCTTAGGTTTTTTCGGTACCTGGTAAATTTCATTAAAAATAACGGCAAAAAATATATACCGAAGTATGTTTACCTTGAAAAATTTAAAAATATTGAAAACCATGCTAGCCGACGGAAACTGTTGGTGAAAGTGGTGATCGAAGCGACAGAAATGAATTAAGGCCCTTCTGAGAAGAATAGTCGAGAAGCAATAATGACCAGCGGGATCCTTCGATGATGGTCGATTGATATGAATTGGGCGGGAAGGGGCCGAGGAGGGCAAATCGAAATATACCCTGGGGGCACAATATCTATCTACAGGGTATCCCAAAAACCCCCACGGCATTTGGCCGTATTCCATTCGATCGCGACCAAATTTTTACCAGCGATGGGAACCCATAAAAACTATGTGCAGCCGAGTTTTCTACGCAAAATATTGTAAAATAAAAAAGTTATAGCTAAAAAAGACTGATTTTTTTGGAAAAAATTTGTCTCTGGCAGACAATTGGCACGCCGTGGCATCTTTTATCGTTTTGGCAAAAGACCATGAGGGGGGAAGGGGGCTAAGCTTCGTTTTAGGTGTCCTCTACACACTTCCGGTCTCTGCTCAACAACCCATCATAGCCAATCCACGCCGTATTTAAAGGACCCAATTCTTTGGAAGTTTTCCTCAAACAATCTCTGCTAGCCTGCCGGTCGTCGAAAAATTTAGGTGGGCGGGGATTATTTGTGAAATGCCGTCATTAGCATCAGGCATTGAGAATTCACTCCAGTGTCCTTGAAGGACTACTAGATTCTGCTCTCTCTCTCTCTCTCTCTCTCTCTCTCTCTATCTCTCTCGCTCTCTCTCTCTCTCTCTCTCTCTCGCTCTCTATCTCTCTCTCTCGGCTCTCACACTCCTCTCTCTCTCTCTCTCTCTCTCTCTCTCTCTCTCTCCTCTCTCTAGTGACTCCATCGTTTTAACCCCCAGATCGGGTTACATCCGATAGCAAAGCGGCGAATCGTGTACCCATTTTGTGCCCCCAGGGCGGCAGATTCCTTCCCCTCCCCCAATAGGTGGTCATGTAGTTGCAGGTCCATGCCGGAAATGCTCATCTACCACCCATCATCCCAAACAGGAGCCATAGACGGGGGGATTATCTCGGCCAACTTTTGCTCCACCCCCAACGGCAATTTTGTTTTTCTGGTTTTTCTTTCGATGTTTTAAGGGATCGATTCCCGGCGGGCAGGCTAGCAGAGATTGTTTGAGAGCGGAGGGACTATTAACCGCTTCAAAATAAAGGATCTCTGCTGGTTACCCTCAAAACGCCGCTGACACCGATTACGCCATTAAATCACGTTTTCTCCAGAAATTTCGATTTCCCTTGTGAACTTCTCGAAGTCGTCGCGACCGCTTTAATCGTGGGTTAGCTGCAAATTTCCAAATTTTTTGAACTGCTCGAAGTCGTGGCCGCCGATTTTTGGGCGAACCTCCAATTTGTTTCCTTTTTCTTCGCTTATACGGGGGATTTTTCCGGCTTGACAAATGGCCATTATAAGGGGCGGGGGTGTAATTTCCGGGGGAGAAAACGCATTGTTTCCCGGAGTTTAGCCGTTGATGCGGCTACTGTAGCCTAAATCCCAAAAATCCTCTGCTAGGGACCCCCAATTTCGAGTGAATACCTAAAGGAGCTCTGCTAGATTGCTCGAAAGGTATCGTTCGGGCCACTTTGAGGCTTCAATGATCTCTGCTAAGTTGCCTAGCCCTCTCAAACAATCTCTGCTAGCCTGCCCCCTTCTTTCCATTTCCTCGAAGAATCTCTGCCAGCTGCCCGAATTTCCTCAAAAATCTCTGCTCGTGTCCGGCTGCTTGTCACCCCAATTTATCGCCAATCTCGTCAACCCGATTTCCCAAGAAAATTAGGGGCTCTTTTTAGCTCTTATTGTCGGTTTTTATGGACATTCAGGTGCTTTCGGCCACCTGCCAATACTCGAAAAAGATGGACATTAATTGCGCCGGTTTCAGGGCTGGGTTTTAGGGGAATTCTGTCATTTACTAGCCCCAATTTCCTCAAACAATCTCTGCTAGCCTACCCCCTAGTCTCTTTCGCTCTCTCTCTCTCTCTCTTTCTCTCTCTTTCTTTCTCACTCTCTCTCACTCACTCACTCTCTCTCTCTATCTCTCGCTCTCTCTATCTCTCTCTCTTTATCTCTTTCTCTCTCTATCTCTCTCTCTCTGTCTCTCTCTCTCACTCTCTCCCCGAGCTACTCTCGACTACGTCGTTGAAATGAATGACGCTATGAAATCAGTCGGCCATCAATTTCCATGTCGTAATCATTTCCCTTTCCCGATATCCTACGGTCACCTATTCTATCCCCTCCAATATTTGAATGCATAAATCGTGGCTGTCCCACCCAGTCCCCCCTCCCAAATCTTCCCAAAACTCAATTTTGGCCCCCCTTTGCCGAGCTCTTCCCTTTTTCTGCATGCTTCACCAAACATCATTTGGCTATGGCCGGAACGGAGGGCGGTTTTGGGCAATTTTCATGTTTCGCCCGATCTTCCGGCCCTCTGCAACTCCGGAAACCACGCAAAGAATCTCTGCTAGCCTGCCGCGTTGAAATTCGGAGTCTACCTGGCTGTCACTCCACCTTTAATTCCTGAGGAATCCCTGCTAGCCTGCCAGAAGCTAGCCCGAAGCCTAAGCCTAAGCCCAAGCTTAAGCCCAAGCTTAAGCCCAAGCTTAAGCCCAAGCTTAAGCCCAAGCTTAAGCCCAAGCTTAAGCCAAGCCTAAGCCAAGCCTAAGCCAAGCCTAAGCCAAGCCTAAGCCAAGCCTAAGCCAAGCCTAACCTAAGCATAAGCTTAAGCCAAGCCTAAGCCTAAGCCGAAGCCCAAGCTTAGGCCAAGCCTAAGCCAAGCCTAAGCTAAAGAATGTCCGCTAGCCTCCTTCATCTCATTGCGCCATGTAATTCGAAGCCATCCGAAGAGAGTCCCTCTGAATTTGCGAAAAATTCCGCAATAATCTCTGCCAGTTTGCCGGACAGAGTCTAGGCACTACCGCCCCATAGATGAGACCTCATCTATCATCCATCCATTCATATTTGTCCCCCAATAATATCAGGCAGCAAATTACTCATTATCCATCGCGTGGTGGCTCTCTCTCTCTCCCTCTCTCTCTCTCTCTCTCTCTCTCTCTCTCTCTCCTCTCTCACTGTCTCCACCTCTCTCTCTTTTTTATCTCTGGCTGGCTGGCGTTGGATTTTTGGTCGCGACCGAACGCAGAAGCACACGAAAAAGAAGCTATTTCGTAAAGAATCTCTGCCAGCCGCCTGTCCCCATTTCCTAAAAAATCTCTGCTAGCCTGCCCCGATCCATCGCTGACTCAGAATCTGAAAAAACCTACCCAACCGTGTTGACTTTCACGCAAAATGGGCCCAGCGGCCATTATGATTCCCTCCTTTTTCCGCGAAATGACTGTTGACGGAAAGAAATCCGCGGTGCTCCTTTATCCCCTTTTTTTGTCATTTTTGAATGGGGACCATTCTTCGCGAATTCATACAAAAGTCGGGGGGCCCCCGGCAGAATATCCCGTTTGTGCACACCTCCCAAATGATCGCTACTAGCCGGCCTCGGCTGGCGAAAGTTTCTGCTAGCTATTGAGGTCCCATTAATTCGACAAAGGAGTTGAGTGTTCTTCAAAAATCTCTGCTTAGCATGCCCCCATTTCCTAAAAAATCTCTGCTAGTCTCGTGGCTCCCGGAAGTAATTTACAATCTTGGCGTCAAGAGCTGTCAATCGTCATCCACGGAAATTGGGCTTTGTCTGTCTGTCTGTCTGTCTCTCTCACTCGCTCTCTCTCGCTCTCTCTCGCTCGCTCTCTCTCGCTCTATCTCTCTCTCCCTCTCTCTCCATCTCTCTCCTTCTCTCTCTCTCACTCCCTCTCTCGCTCTCTCTCCCTCTCTCTATCGCGCTCTCTCTCCCTCTCTCTCACTCGCTCTCTCTCACTCACTCCATCTCTCTCTCTCTCTCTCTCTCTCTCTCTTTGATGATTTCCAATTTGTCCGCCACCTACTGCCAAGAAATTCCGCATCTGCCCCCGCCCGTCCCAGGTCATTCTGAACTCTCGTCACCGGTTTTACCGGGCATTTAGTGTTGACAAAATGCCAGTCTAGGTCAACTAGCAGAGATTCCCTGAGGAAATGTGGGCAGGCTGGCGGTGTCATTTGCGGATCTTTCTTGGGGGCTTCTCCCGCTGGCGCAGAGTTCCTCTAGGAATCGACTATTCTGAATCTCTTCCAAAACTTCCGCGTCTCGTCGATTCGGCAAGCCGCCAAATCGACCTCGACCTTTCTCAGGCTCGTTTTAACCGATGCCGCCACCCTGAAAAAGTGCACTCCGGCCAGATGGGGCCAACAAACGAAACATCCCGGTCCGAGGCTCTCAATTCTCGACCTAGCCCATTTTTTCGAATTTTTAAGTACGCTCCGGCATCCCTCAAACAATCTCTGCTAGCCGCCCTTTCCATTTCCTAAAGAATCTTTGCTAGTCTGCCCTGTAAATTGCGGAATTTCCGTATTTTCCACCCCAAAAAGTTGCCCTTGCCTGCCATTATTTTTGGGGAAATTTATCGTAGCCAAATTGGGCGGGTACCCTCCAAATTCCAATGAATTCCAAATTCCGGGCCCCCGGCTACGCGACGCTCCAAATTTCAGGAGACCTTCGGGCGGCTACACTTCTATTAAAGGGGCATTGAAGGCAAGAGGGAGGCAAAGTTAGAGAGCGAGAAAGAGAGAGCGAGAGAGAGAGAGAGAGAAGAGAAGAGAGAGAGAGAGAGAGAGGATGGACAAACTGCTGCCCCAATCTGTGGCTACGAGGGATTGCCCGACGTCTCGCTTCGTCTACGTCTCTTTTGCAGGTCAGATTGTAGTCTGTAGTCTGTAGTCTGTAGTCTGTAGTCTGTAGTCTGTAGTCTGTAGCCTGGCTGTCAGTTTGGTGATTTCTATCAAAATTTTGCTGCAAAACCCAAAAAGCAGGGGTCGTTTTGGGTCAGCGTTTGTAGTTTGTAGCCTGTAGCCTGGTGACTACAAGCTACAACCCTGAAAATTTGCGCATTTCAGGGCTGGTGGCCGTTTTTGGCGTCTTCTCGAACGCGTTCCTCCTCAGGATCTTCATCGCGCGCAAACCGTCGAATGACAGGTTCGTGGTTAAGTTCCTAAAAGCTCTCTGCTGGCCGGCCCATCTGAGGGCAAGCTAGCAGAGGCCACTTGCGTGCCTCCCAAACCGTTGATTTTTCAGCCCATCGAAGCTGTACCCCGCTCTCCTGGCCGTCCTAGACATTCTCCTCTGCATCGCCTACCTTCTCCTGTTCGTCGTCGATGTCCAGATGATCTATCTGCAGGACGTGGTACCGTATCATTTTGCGGTCAAAAAGCCAAAAGCAAAAAATTTTGACGCCGCCGGGGGTCGAACCCGGGGGGTCTCTGGGGGCCAGTTTGTTGTTTGTAGCTTGTAGCCGGTAGTCTGGATGCCAGTTGAGGGATTGCCACCAAAAAATCCCAAAAGCAAAAGGTCTTCCGGAGCCGGGGGTCGAACTCGGGTCGTCGGCCTGGCAGGCAAGACGCCAACCATCCAACCATCCATGTTTTGCAGGCTCTCTTCACCGCCTACCACTCGTACATCATCTGGGTGCTGTCGTTCTCGCGGATGAATCAGCTGGCCATCCCGTGTCTCCTAATGCTCGCCACCGCCGAGCGACTCGCCTGGTTGACGCCGAAAAGGTGAGCCGTAGCGGTCAAGCCGATATCCAGCCAAAATCCCGACAACCAAAATGCCGACAGCAAAATGTCGACAACGAAAATGCCGACAACCAAAATGTGATATTTTCCGCCATTTTCCCATAAATGGTTTTAAAACCGGGGTTTCTGGGTGTCGGCATTTTGGCTGTCGGCATTTTTGTTGTCGACATTTTGGTTGTCGGGATTTTGGCTGGAATCCGGCTTGACCGCTACGGCTCACATTTTCGGCGTCAACCAATCTCGATAGCCAGAATCCCGACAACCAAAATCCCGACAACCAAAATCCCGACAACCAAAATCCCGACAGCCAAAATGTGATATTTTCGCCCATTTTCCCATAAATGGTTTTAAAATCGGGGTTTCTGGGTGTCGGGATTTTGAATGTCGGGATTTTGGCGATTCTCCCGTCAAGCCCTACGTTTCATTTTTTGCAGGCGCCGCTCACCGTCGGCCGGCCGTCGACAGATTGTGGTGGCTGTTGGGGTGGTGTCGCTCTGCGTTCTCATCAGAATACCCGCTCTCTATCTACTCGACGTTGACACGTTTCCGGGGTGTTCGGAACCGATGAGGAGACTCGCCGTTGCACCCACTATATTAGCCAGCGTAAGCGGATAGCCTTCCTCAAACAATCTCTGCTAGCCTGCCCTGCCCTTTCCACTTCCCCAAAAACCGATCGATTTCAGGATCCGTGGTGGTTCTTCTACGACACGTACTTTATCGTCATCATCCAGACCGTCATCCCTTTTGTCGGTCAGTTTCCGCAAATTCTCTCTGCTAGCCTGAGCGTAGCCTAAGCCAAGCCTAAGCCTAAGCCTAAGCCTAAGCCAAGCCTAAGCCTAAACCTATGCCAAGCCTAAGCCTAAGCCAAGCCTAAGCCAATCCTAAGCTAACAAGGGAACCTCAAGTTGGCACGGTGGAGTTTCGAACAACGCTCGCGGCTACCCCTAGGTTTTCGACTATGGTGATTCCAACGGTCCAGTCAGAATTTCCTAAATGGGCCTCTGGACAGAGATACAGCACTTCCGGAAAATGATAATTTACATCCGAAAAATTAGCATTGGCAATAGGTTTAAGAGGCTCTCCCATCAGTATGGAATCACCAGTTGAATGGCCGAGTGGTAAGCTACTCGCTTGATAGAATACTGACCAGGGTTCGAATCCGCTCACGATTTTTTATTTTGCCTTTTGACCGGAACTTTCTGCCCAACTTCAAGTTTTGATTTTTACTATAAGAAAAATTTTTGGTTATGGCCCCAGACTGTACTCCCAAGAATCCTGAAAACTCGTTCTCGAAATTCAAAAAAGTTGGGTCTACCCATATTCCATTTTTTTACAGAGAAGCTCCTATGATTTACTCGGATGCTTTTAGAAGGTTTAGAAAGAGGACGTATTTTCGAAAAAAAGTAACCAAAACTTGGAGTTGGGCAGAAGGTTCCGGTCAAAAATGCAAAATAAAAATCGTGAGCGGATTCGAACCCTGGTCGTATTCTATCAGCCGGCTTCTTACCACTCGGCCATTCAACTGGTGATTCCATACTGATGGGAGAGTCTCATAAACCTATTGCCAATGCTAATTTTTCGGATGTAAATTGCTCATTTTTCGGAAGTGC